ACAACCCCAGGGTGATGAAGATTCTATTAAAGATAAATACAGCACTAGATTTCCCAACATAATCTGTGGGTTTTATCATTACATAGCCAAATTTCTGACCCCCACCTAAACCAGACAATGTGTCAGTATTTTGTAATTTAAACTGTGTGCCTAACCTGTAGGGAAGTGGCATGGAATTTCTAGGGACAGTACAAGAGAATGTATGGACCTCAAATTAGATTAACAAGCATACATTTTCCTTATTTCCCTAGTGCTTAAAACTGCAGAAATAATAACTCCTAATATGACATTGCCAACACATTTGTTCTTGGCTGTTTATGCAGATTAAGCAGCAAAAATACTAGCATTTTTGCAAAAACACTAGTAATTATCAATTAAAATAATTAACATATTATCTGGTATGTATAGAAATAAATAATGGAGTTAATATGGTAAAAAGAACAGAAAAATACCTGTAAAATTGCAACTTCATTACGAAGTTGACTTTCCTGTTTAGTTGGGAATCTTAGTTTATCAATTATTTTAATGGCAACATCTCTTCCTGTTTTGCGATGCTTTCCTGCATTAATAAAACAAAAGACCTCTATCAGTTAACATGATTAATTATGAAAAGTGTTCCCTTTTCATGGACTGTACAAATGGTCACAACCAAGTAACTATCCAAGCTGGTTTGCAACTAAGTCATTAAAAGTTTTCTGCCATTTCTCTTCTTTCTATCTTTGACAACAGAACTTTTCTTATTATCAACTGACAAAGCTGTTTAAACACTTTAGAAACATACATATGAGAAAGTCAGCTCTGCTTTTCAACAAGATAGATGCAAAGTGAATTTTCGCATATACACTTAAGCCGAAGCTGCATTCTCTGCAACTGGCAGGTTGTAGGCTTAGTCCTTCAATGATAGCTCCACACTAGCAAATAATGAAATAAGTGATAGCCTTTAGGCATGTAACGACATGTCCCAGGTTTATCAGAGAGTCAGAGATTCTTCAGCGAGAAATTTGTTGTTAGTTCTCACTTCACACTGTCTTGACCAACAACTATACCTACAGACACCTCCAAAAACTGCTGAAAAAAGGAGAACTAAAGAGAGGAAAAATGAAGTAAAAAATAAAAAGAGAAACAATTCCAAGAAGCTACTAGAAACAATAAAAAAGCCACAAAGAACATGTCAATAAAAACAGAAGGAAGAATAATTTTTTTCCATCCATTATTGTTCTCAAAAATAACAGTTTCCCGCACTTCAGGGCTTTCTTTATTAGAGCTCACAGAGAATATGAATCTACTGATACACACTGACATATTACTGGGTAGAAAACTTCAAATTACAAAAAGATTTTATTAACATAAAACATAAACATACACATTGTTTAATGTATACTGCTTATAGAAAACAACAGGCAGCAAATTTCTGTAAGAAAACACTTCAGAGTCCAAATACTTTCACCATTCAAGAAAACCAAAGCCTTACCTCCATAAACAATTCCAAACTGTCCTGATCCCAGTACCTCATCTGGGAAGATTTGGTATACAGTGCTAATATCCTGTTTATACAAACATAACAAATATTAAGCCCTGAGGACATGGAAACAAATTTATATTTCTTTTGCTTTCTAGTGGAAACTAACATATATTTCTATAGTACATTTCAGAAGATATTATCAGCCAAAATATTCAGGTGGGTTTTCTTACTAGCCACATTACTTGTAATTGCTGTAAAAGCTGACAAATCTTCAACAGGTTCACTGAGAGGGGTAAAATATTTCAATTGTGCCAGAGAGGGGTCTCAGGGTTTACTATTTCTTAGTGCCTTAGCACAGGCTAAAGTGCAAGCTGTTAACACATTCATTTGGGAGACTCAAATATACATCAAATCAGTTTTATTTTCCTGATACATAACAAGCAGCATATACAACAAATAGTAAAAGAATGCCTAGGATTTGACAATAAAGGCAGCCTTACTTTTTCTTAGGAAACAAATGGACACATCCCTAGCAGGCAATCTTTTTCTGACTACTACGAGAGCTGTCCCAGAGATTTACTTGGCTGCAGGGTGTCCTATTCACTTCCTCTGCCCATGAGACAGAAAACAAGCAATGTGACTGTTTACCTTGACCACATGTTCTGTGTCTCTGTCCTAGTGTAAAAGAAACCCAGAATTCTTTATGCATGTGTAACAACATATGCAACTCTTCCTTCCAAAGATAGACTTTCATCTTTGTACAACAGAGAATATCTGATCTCTCAAGGTATATTTATCAAGGCTTGTGGTCAGCTTTATGAAGTTCAGTTGACAAATTCTATGAACTAATAATTTCTACACCTCACTTTTCCATCTGGTAATTAACATCCTGCAAGGATCCATAGTTAAAGACTGTATTAAGTGAAATTACTCATATATGTATCTATTACTCGTATATCTTGATACAATCATATCAAGAAAAGGTGCCATGAAGATGATTTTTCTCAAAATTAGCAAAGCTAATTGTTTGTTAATTTCTACAAAGTGAGAAATGGCTGATGGAAGCTCCTCTAACATTTCTCTTTGCAAAACAAATCAATGACTTTGCCAGCTCAATCATAGCATGTCTAGCACCAGCATCAAGAGAACACTCACCACATTTTCTTGAACTTGGCAGTTTGACACAGAAATACTGATGGATATATCCCCTGGGGAAGAAAGCACAATATACTTTAGATTGCTATGCTTTTAGTTCAAACATGTAGTAATAGGAAATGACATTCACATTACATCAATATCTACTGACGGCTCTAGAAATTGAACCAATTAGGTCAGCTTGTTCGTCTAGCAGCCAATATAAAATTACACCAACCCACAACACGTGACTTAAACAACAGTTTTGCGGTGTATGGAAAAAACAGAATTATACAGGCAAATATGCATTAAAATTAGAATGTACACTGTTTCAAGTAATATACATTTCAATTGGCTTAAGAGACAGCATTAAAACATATAATGGAAACAAAATCTTGCACTTGTGATTTAATAGAACAAGCATCAGATTTACCCTCTATAAATTCAGAGCTTAGAATGTTGTCATAAGCATTCTGAGCTGCAAACCTACTGAGGGGTTCAATAAAAGTTGAGAATATGCCTACAGCTAACTGTATGACACAAAGAGAACACTCTGGGGAGAAAAGAATGTTTCACTGGAGCTCTGCCCCTTCTGTCTCCTGCCTAGTATCCTGTTCATGTTGACTTTTCGTTTTCTTATTAAGTATTTCAGCCTCATCAAAACCAGTGTCCCTACTATAAAGCCTCTATTACACACTGAAGACACTCATTGCTACACATCAGCACCAATCCTAGCTGCAGTAAGCAACATGGATAACTTCTGCCTCACATAGCTTATTCCATTTCCTTAGGAATAGACTGGTCTTGGAATGGAATGTTTCAGTTATGTAGGGGCTTTTTATCATTGCAATTTGTTTTCAAATGTATGTACTACTCTGTGTTTACATGAAAAAAAGGCACGGACAAGTCCTACACTTTGAGCATAAGACAGAAGGTTGCTATATACTCCCCACAGGAATTTGTTCTAAAGGTCTCAGCCAGCAATTTTTGCACATATAACCCAAAGGTAACTATTAACTTTGAAAGAAACTTTTCAAACTTCCCAAGAGGGAGAGAAGACAGCTGTCATGCCCGGCCCAGCATTTTAGATGACTTGTTTAGCTATGCTGGGCCCAAACCAGGGGGACTAGAGAGCTAGTCTGAATAAAATGACATCCAGAATTTGACACTATTTTATGCAGGATCCCAGTCAAGAAAGCAAAGGGCATTGCTGATCTAATCTGATATTTGAGCTGTTGTGCCTGGAGATGTAATGTCACAGCCTGTTGTATTACTTGGTTTCTGAAGGGCTTGTGGTCTCATTAGCATTTTGTGCTGCATTAATAGCATCCAGATGTCAAGTGCTAAAGCGGGTATATATTGCAACAAAAGGTCTAATCCAAATTGTGTAGACATATCAAAATTTGCTTTACACTGACTAGGCTGAATAGAAGTAATAGAACAACTACAGCAGCACATGCCTAGTAGTGGAGAATTGTTTGCTCTTTGCTACTTTATTATCAGTACCCAAACTAGATTTAAACAAGTTTCATGTTTGTTTTACACAAACTCCCATCTTTGCTAGAGAATTACACCAAGATATGTAAATCGGAGGCAAATTCAGTCCTTTTGGTCCTGGGTAGCACACATGCTTTGTTGTGCTTGCAATAGCTGTTCTTCACACTTGAGGTCTTTTCATCTCAGCATGGGACACAGTTTGAGGCAGTTGTACAGCCAAGTGTGATGAAAGGGAGCATATCACCTATGCTGTGGTGACCAAAAGAGTGAAGAGCTGCTTCTGCAGATAGCTCGAAACATAAATTACAGTCACAAGGTGGGAAAAAAAATAATCAATTCCAAACTGAAACTCAGAAACTTCATGCACAAATCTGAATGAGATACCTTACTAATATAAAAACCATATGCTCACTAATAAATATGCATCTTGTATATTAATATAGGTGCCCTAATATAATCTGAAAAGACATGTATGAGAAATGTTGGGGCTTAAAATACAATGCAGACAAGTTTTAAGCCATGACAGAATAGCCTTTACCAGGTGTGCAATACACCCTTTCAGTGTAAGCAGAAGACTAAGCGATGCTGTTTGTGATGGAAGGGAGGAAATGAATAAACTTACTGTGCAGGCTGGCTCCTGACCCAGCTGATGTCCCTTTAGGGTTGACAGGCATCAGGGCATGCTGTATTGCCATCTCCCACATTCGTGCCACATCAATGCCAATACCGCTGCTGAGAAGACTGTTATTCAGTGGAACACTTGAGAGGTTTTCTATGTTTTCTCCAACATAATAGACTATATTTGCTGTGCTTATTTCAAAACAATGAGGATTGGCTCCTTGAGGCAGCAAAGTGAAAGTTTTTGCAGGTTCCAGAGACAAAATTTCAGACAATGGAATTTCCTAAAATGAAAAATATATTTTACTTTCTGTGTAAAGATTATCAACACAAAGAACTAAAGCATGAACTTTATTTAACTAATTTACAGTATTAGCTGTTGATTTTTACTACATGCTTCCTGTATAAACAAAAATGCTCTTGTAACCTGCAACTCCCTGACACAGAGGACTTTTGATGGTAAAATACTAAATATTTCTTTCCAAGACCAAGTAGAACTTTATTTAATTGAATTTATCAAAGATAGTAATGAGGAACTCCATTAGAAAATCAAACCTTTTTAACTTCTAATATAAAAGCTTTCCATTTCCACAACATGTATTATACAGGCCCTTGTTATTTGACGCCTTTCTGATCAGAGACTTGTTTGTGAAAAGCAAAACACACATAGGCAGTTTAAATAATGAAAACGAACACAGAAGTTATACTACTAGTGCACATTTAGTATGTATCATTCTAGCAATTTAGTCCTTACATTTTGCTGGTATAATGAGAGTGAAAATATTCCTTACTTTGTAATATTTGCTTCCAGTATCATTTTGAAAAAGAGTAATGCATTTGCTGTCGAGCCTCCAATAGTGTCGCTTCCTCTGCAATGAAATACAAGTGAAAAATAGTTCTAGCATTTTCCAAGTAAATTAATGAAACATTCATTTCTCAAAAACACCACTGCCAAAATGTTTCACTTTAGTTTGAAGAGATGTATTGTGAACAATAAAGATTCATTTGCTATTGCAAGATTTAAATGAAGACTTTATAATTGAATTTAGGATGTATAGGGACATGCTCTGTTGTTTTGGTAATAGCTGTGTTAAAATTGTACAAGTTTTAAAAATTTAAAATGTTATTTCCATGTCTGTATTACATTCAGCATAATTTGCTACTTGCACACTCCCAAAACAATTACACTTTCTTTTTGTATCACTTACAACACCCCAGCTTGCTTCTGAAGGTCACATACTGAAGGCTTTATTCCTGTTTTAGCAGGCTGAAATTAAAATAACTTCTTCTATGCTAAATCTATTTTACAAAAGTCTCGATCCAACCAGCAGTAATGTATCTGGGAGACTGCAGTTGGAAGTTAAAGCTACTTTACAGAACCCCTAATGTGTTAAGATTGTTTTACTTCCTTCAGAATCTTTACATATGGCTGCCTATGATAATACAGCAGAAATATTCAGATGGTTTTGTGTGTTTTAAGTGTTGCCTGTTTCTTGCAAGCAGTGCCAGTCCTCAGTTATGACAAGAGTCAGGACTTTACGAATCACAAAAACTGCAAAAAATGCCATACACGACTGCAAATTATCAAAGTATTCTTAGCTTTTGATTCTGTACTATCATCTAGTATGTACAGTAAGACAGGTCTTCCTTAATATTTCTTACCAGCGTGTCCTTGCTCGTATAGTGAACCATCCAACCCTCCTTCATAACTGTGCTACTTCTCCTTTTCGTGTGCTTCACAGACTGTACCACTCTCATTAATGGAATATTGTTGCTTGTTGAAGGGCTTAAGAAAAAAATCATTGAACATTTTTAAAAAGAAGGTAACTTTGGAAAAAAGGAAAAACATTTTAAAATCAGAATACATATATATACACTCGCACAATATCTACGTTTATTTCTATCATTGCTAGCAGACCTGGACTGCACACTATTTTGCTCGTGGTGTAGCATTACAATCTTTATTCTTGAGAATCAAAGTATCTTGAGATTCTCAAGAATAAAGATTGCAATGCTACACCACGAGAGTGTCAGAGACCTTTCTGAAGGCTTAGAAATGCTCTTCCAAAAATATTGCTAAAGATGAGCTCAGAATATGGGCAAATGACTAAGGCCTCAGCTAGGTTGTGGGAACCATAGCTCAAGTCTTTGCTATGTATGATTCAGACCAGGACTTGGATCTTGCATCTCTCATAACCCAGTAAACGCTGCCCATCAGATTACTGTCCTTTGATCTTCCTTGGGTTCAAACACACAATGGAGTGATGACGGTTTACAGAGTAGAAAAACGTGTCAGCTGCCCAGCTGTGGGTACCATGGGCTGGGCACAGCAGAGAAGCTGCTAGAACCTCTCAGAGAAAGAGGTTTACGCTAACCCATTTTACCCTCAAAGACCTAAAGCAAAACCCTATTACCTTGCCCTGTTGGGGTATGCATGCTGCAACTTTCCACCACTCAGCTGACACAAAGTAAGCTGGGAAGGCATGGGAATGTGCCAGTATGCCTGATAGTACCATTAGATAAAATCCAGTAGTAACCAGAAGCAACCAAGCCCATCTTTCTTGCTGTTAAGAGTTAACAATTCCTAGAGCAGATTTTGTGTAATGGAAGATGGACTCAATCTGCCTCAATCATAAACATGAATGCTTAGTTATTTCTGGCAGAACTTTTAACGGTGATGACTGTACATGAAAACACAGCACAAAGAGCTCATGTATTCTGCCCTGCTAGCAAAGCTATCGGTGCAACAACTGCAACAAAAAAAGGCAAAAACTCCCCAGGAAAAGAATAATATGTTAAGTTTCCACAATCGTTATGACTGCGGATGTCTGCCCTGCTTCACTGTAATGCATCTTGGAAATAAGAAACATTTTAAGAATTGGCAGTTTCCCAGCAAAAAGAAAAAAGTGTGCTGTCTTAAAGTTTCATTAAGTATGTAACCTAGATTTAGCATCTCTTTTTTGCCTCAAAATGATCTAATGAACTGCAGTTCCTATTCAACTCTTCATGTCTGTACTGGCAAAGAGTTTGCTGCTTATTTGTCTTTTACGGATTACTTGAAAAATATGGAGACTATCCTTAGAAATAACTAGGGAAAAGTATTAGTGGAAATACAAGGATGCCCTTTGAATAAGTAAAACATGTACCTGGATTATGAATGTTTTTATTTGTTATAAATGGGTATTTTGAAAACCTGTAATGCTGTTCATTTAATACAACTTGGACATCTAAAACGTTGTATGACACTGATTCTGTGATATAAGCACAGGCTTATATTCCAATGATGCAAGGTGTTATACACCATGTCTGTGCAGATGAACATGACAGTAGTTCACCACTGCATGAGGGAAAACTGAATATTGTTGAAATGGATTGCCTTCTATCAGTGCAACAGGTATATGACAGCAACAGAGAACTAAGGGGAACATGTTACTGAAAGAGCCTCCCAGTAATCAAAAGAGGAAACTGCAGGTCAAATGGACCTGTGAAAGAAAAATATTCTGTAATTCTTAAAGGCATAGATCCCTTCCACCAAGGAAATTACAGCTGAAATTATCTTAATCCATTTTAGGTTTCCTGATAATGAACAATCCTTACTTTTCCCCTAATATTCTGCCAGTTCCAATAAGCAAATAATACTTTCTTCTCTTCAGACATTTCTGAGGTATGTTGCACAAGTCAATTACTATTTTCCTTTCTGAATACTCATTTCAAACCACTAATCTATTTTGTACTTTGTTTCAAATTACTACTAAAGGTATCTAAAAATAGAAATAATTCATCTAGATTATAAGATAGCCACTTACACAATTTAAAAAAATGTTCATTTAAATAACCATTTTAAAATGCTTTGGAAAATAAATAAGTAAAAAAAAAAATTGTTTAGTATGTTTACTATCGCTCTGGTAAGAACTACTAGTGCCTCAGTATTCCGTTGCTACTTCTTCAACTTGACAATAATTTTCAAGTTTCTCTTAAATTACTAATGCACATAATCAGTGAACCAATCTCACTGCAATTTCACAATCACCACATATAACTAGCAATCTCCACTGAGTGAGACTAGCGTCCATGTAGATTCCCCCCTTAGACACTAGACTTAGAAATAAATACAAAAGAAGACTGAGACTAGCGTCCATGTAGATTCCCCCTTAGACACTAGACATGAGACTTAGAAATAAATACAAAAGAAGATGGAATTTACACTTGCTCCCCAGCTCACCTGATCATCCTGTTAGACTCATCATGATCCAGATCAGCATCCTGCATTTCCCCGTTGTCACTATGGCATCCTGTCATTGACATCTCTGAATCATGAGCCATAGATTCTTCCATGTCATCTATAAAACCACTGTTTCTTTCACTGTCGTTGTCATCACTCCCCTCTTCCATGACCACATCAGACTCAGCCCCAGGACTAAGAAGATCTGGAATATCATTTCTTAAGTTATTATCTGAAAACATACAATACTCCAATGACAACATCCTGGCACATTTTAAGCTTCAAAATCAGGTACTCTTTGGAACTCTATTGTCTGCATCTATCTCTACTCAGCATTCTGTGTACTGGTGAAGGGTGGCTTTTAACCAGTCATTTAGAAAATCACTACAGAAAACCAAAATATTTTCAGAAATCAACTTTCTATCAAAAAATGCCAAAGTCAAAGCAGAATTTCCTATCCATTAATTTCTATCAAATATTATATACTCATGAGCTTTATTTCTGAGATCTTGTGGGAGACTTTTTATCCAGCTTAAATCTTGTCTACTTGACTGATGGCTGTTGAAAGCTACAGCTGCATAGTGATGCAGAAGAGCAGTAATATCAAAACTAGAAATTTTGTAATATGATGATGAACTACTGAAATAACTCCCAAGAGAATTACTTATAATGTGAAGTACATGTTCCTTTGCACCCGTGTTTTCTGTGACGACTGCATAAAACGGCACAGTGATCAACACCACTGAAATAATGCTCCATGCCTTTAGAAAAGAAGTATTTATTAAGTATCAAAACCAAAGACTTAGGATTTTACTTATTTGACTATGACATAGTATTAATACTATCATCCAATTTATATTCAAATTATGTTAAACATTCCAGTTTCAAAATTAGATACACCTAAGCAAGATCAACACATGAAACAACTTTTTGCTGTATTGCTGCTTATGAATGGATTTAGCTGAAATACAGAAAGGAACAAAAAAACAGAATTATTTACCTAAGGACCTATATTATGAAGAACCAAACTAACAAAACCCCAAACAAGTAAACAACTTCTACCACAGGTCCCTCAAAAAAATAACCCCCTCATTTTGTTGAAACTCAACCTGCTCCTATACAGGCTGTGATCTAACATGCCACAATCCTTAGGCCAGTCAGACAGTAAAAACAGCATTAGTTTTTTCGGGATGTTTGAAGTGTTTCAGAAATTTGAAGTAAGTTTAAATTCACATGAAACTCATCAAATAATCTCTCTGACCAACTTTTTCCTAATTCTGCAGAGGAAGATTCTTTACAGTCAATGGAGACAATGTCCCACAAGAAAAAGCACATTGAACCGGCTGATAGCAGAGTATTTGGAATTGATAGCATTTCACTGAAATTGGAAGTGCATAGCTGAAAGGTTTGGGTCTAAGTTACTGATGTGTGATTAAGAGACACATTATACTTCCTCTCTAGCAGAACCAGTCATTCCATCATCAACGACACTTTACCGTGAAAGGTTCTCTCTTTGCTATTCCTGTAACATTTTTTGAATCTCTATTTTTAATAAACCTACAATCAGTTAAAAATAACTCCCTACATTTAGTATATAATGCATTTACTAATGACACCATACTTAGAATTCTACTGCTTCAGCTGTTCCTTCACTTACTATTTTGGGGAAAATGTATCACACAGCAGATGGACAAAGTGACAGATACTGTATTTTATTTATTAAGTTTGAAAATAATGTGAACCAAATTCTGTGAAAATGGAAATGAGATACAGGATGAAATTGTCTTTGATAATCCTGAGGACCCTATATCAGTCATTTAGGGCACACAATTAAGAGTTCTACTATAATGCTATGGATACCACACTATGGATATTATTTTGTGTATAAAAGCCAAATTCTACACATTTTAAGACTGTGAGCTTTAAGGAATCTACTTGGAGTTAGCCTGGAGTACATGTTCTCACCCCAAGTGACTTTGCACAGGCTTTCCTCAGACAAACTATCACTTCCCAACAGCACAGCATCAGATTGATGTGTAGGAGGTAAGTCCAAACAAAAGCAGCATGTTGCTTGTGAAGTAAAGGTGGGGAGAGGGCACAGAGTGTATTTTGGAGGGATCAAATACAATTGCCTCAGATAGAAATAGGAAACTTGGAGGAACAGTTCAGAAATAAAAGGAAATTTTGTTAATTTAGTCCAGCTGTGCAGAAACAAAGATTACCTTCCTTCCTGTCTTCTCATAGCACTTCATATCAATCACTCCTCTCTAAAACTGCATCTATGCAGGAAAAAATTTATCATTTATAAGCAGATTTAGTTACTTTATCTGATTGCAAATCTCAGGAAAAACTTTACATTGTGATCAATGGAATTAACATATCATGGTGTAAGTTTAGTTCTTGGATTTGAAAACCAAGCCACAAACTTGGATAAATAGCATTACTTGCACTCCTGAAGAAACAGTTGTGTTGTGGGATGTTGAATAGTTAAGTGAGGTATAAAAAGTGTAAAGATTTTAAAAAAAAAAAAAAAAGTCCGGTGTGAAGTGCATCAGAGAGGACATGTAGTAGGAGTGCAACATCAACCTTCCTTCATGCACCTTATCACACTTCCAAGTCAGATACTCAGTATCTGTAGCAATTGTGCCATGAAACGGAAAAACTCTGTAGTGATACAATGAGAAATACTATGAAAAATATTAGTTAATATTCCTAATTATTGATATGTCTTCAATAAAGCAGATCACTGATTTAAAATTTGAAAAAGGATGCCTCAATAAGGTAATACTTTATTAAACTCAAAAGCAGTTTAGGCTGACAACTTAACACAGTAGTATGCATTAGAAGCTGAACTCTTCACCACACTTCTCATTCCCGTATCACATAGATAAGTGACGTTTTCAAGGCAATCAACAACTCATCTACAACCACCCTTTTTTCCTCAAGTACCGTCTGTTAAGCCTACCCATACACCCCTATACTTAACACAAAACCGACAGCACATGCATGGGAAAATCAGCAGACAGCCAAGCCTTTATTTCTGGCAACCGATGCAATGAGTTTTACGTCAACAGCAAGCGGTGGAATTTTCTCCTGGAGGGCATTCCTAGCTCTTCTAGGTATGCTTTTCCTTCTCAGGAAGATTATACTAAAACAAACACTTTTTTTCCCCTCAGACTAAGAGGCAATTTTTTACTTCTATCTGACAGGTGAGTGCCAACTTCTCACACGTGGCTTTTTGCTTTCTGCCAACATTCTGCATTCAACAGGCCATGATCACCTACCTGGCCATTTTGCTGCTGATACCACCTCTGTGGCACAGCTGAGCCTGTCTGCCAGTGCCACATGTCTGGAAGACATATTCCAGCTCATGGTGTATGAGCCACTTGCAACTTTCCTCCCACACATCATCTTCAACATACAACAGAAATATTACAGCGGAAAGGCCGCTCCCAAGTAACAGAAAAATGTGTGTTTGTACATGTCAGTTTTACATTTCCCTTTTATTTAACTGACGGTTTAAACATGACAGGAACAATTGTGAAGGCAACTTACCTCCATTAATGGCAACTTCCCCCAGGCAGTTATTTGGCACTTTAGGAGCACAGCGTTTGTGACAGTTGAACCTACAGTCTGTTAAACAAACAAAAAAAAACCACAGTAAAATTATTTTCCTTTTCTGTGACACAATTATACTCTTTCCTGCTATCCAGACTATAGATATCAAGCCCTATAATTTCATTAATGCAAAGTTACATGTCCAGAGAGTGTGTACATGCTGCATGCCAGTGGAAGGGACAGGGTGAAGATACTAGAAGCATGTTTCCCTAAGGGGAAACAAAAGCATTTCCTAGAGTAGCTGGGTGGAGGCACTACTGCAGCCGAAGCACAGGCTCAACTCTTCTAAAGGAGTGATGGGGAGACCCAAGTGCTTGGCTGCAAAGCTAGAGCTGCTTTTCCAGTGAAAGAAGCAGATAGGGTGCAGTGTATCTGCTGCAACTTAAGAGACTGACTAGACATCAAATACTGCTGTCTGAAAACTGAAATGGAAGAACCCTAGCCAACAGTTCTAAGTGAGAAAATATTTGTGCTTTACTTCTCAAAACAACTTCTCAACAGCTTGCAATGGAGGGTTTCTTCAATACCTACCTTATTTTCCAGACATTTTTATTTCATTGTACCTTTACTTTTTTCACATGTCTAAGCAGCACTTCATTAGATGTGACGTTAAATGTTTTCTTTTGGCTTATGAACGCATTTTACTTAAACTAAGAGCTGTAACTTATTGACACACCTGGAAAAGCAAAGAGTCAGGAAGGAAGAAATATACTAAGGTTGTCCAGAGCCTTGTAATTATTTAACTTGATGAATGATCCATAAACCAACTGAGGTACAGCAGTACCAAATGACAGGTAATTTTATTTTTTAAAATAAGGTTAATATTTGCTTATGCTATTCAAAATGCACTGAAACAGTGCATCTCTTCACAGAGATTTTGGTTTAGTTAAATCGCAACAGAATTACACCTTAAGTTAAATGAACGCAACTTTAATTTTTGCAGGGTTCAAAGAAGCAACACGAAGTATACCATTTAATTTTACGATAGCTATTGTTTATTTTAATAGAAGGAAGGTGATTTCAAGGATATGTTAGCCAACACTATCTAACACAACAGCAGGCACAATGCTTTGAATGTCCAGGCACTCTAGTTGCCTAAGGTGAGCCAGCAATCTAGGCTAAGATCCAAAGGGCCTGACTCACTTCAGCACCTGCTAAGGTACAACACCAGGAGACTTAGGAGCATGTCAGTCACACTGAGAAAATGTGGGTTTAAATTCTCATTTAAGCCAATCTTATTTTATTTCCATTACAACTCCCCCAAAACCCTGAACTGCTGGGACTGAGGCATATGCTTCAATTCACGCATAATACTTCATAGATTGAAAACAATGAAGGTAAGAATACGGTCCTTTGTGTCAACTATTCTGCTGTAACTGCCTGTGAGCACAAGCTCACCTAATGCCAAATACAAGATAATTTACACTTGACTGAGAAATGTGAGCTACTGCAGATATGCCAAAGGGTAAGAACACACAGCCGTGCAGACAGCTACTGCAGAACAGCAATTACTGTAATTTTGACTCCATCTTAATCCAATGTAGTTGTACATGTGCCTACACCTAGACAGTTTAGTGAGGAAATCATGAGTAAGGCTACACAGTAACTACTCAAACATTAATTTACTAATTTTATTATGCTTAGTTTTTATGTTCCTAAAGGATATTTACTTACCTTTACACTGCAAACCCTGTCTAAAAAGACCTTTGAGAAGCTTCTTACAGTACTGGCAAACTGTTGGCCGTGTGTAGGAGTGGATGACAAAAGTGTGAGGCACTTTAACCTTGGATAGTAAGATCTTGTCTAGCTGAATAGGTCGTCCAATGTAAGACTGTGAATTTGACCTCTTCTCTCGCCCAGTGAATGTTTCTGATGGTGTCTTTTGCTGTGAAGTACATAAAAAGAAGATTTGTATTCATATAAAAAAGAATCTAATAGTTATACGTTCACTCACTTCAAGAACCCTAAGTCGTATGCCACAAAAAGTCATGTAAGTGCCTTTAAACTCTAACAGAACATGCATTATACCCCTCTCAGACTGCTTTAGAAAAATGTGGATGGTACTGAACAACAGCTTCGACAACACTACTATAATACATTTCACATTGTGACAGCAGTTTTTTGATTTAAAAAAATATTTTTTTACATCAAAATGAAAATATTCACCAAAAATTTCTGAGAAAAGCATTTTGTATTCTGATAAAAACACAAACCATTTTTACTTCTCTTGTCTTCTGTTTTACGTCAAAGGTAACTTTGAAGGGCTGCATTTTTTATATAAACATTAAGAAAATGATTACCTTATTCTATGTGCATGCAGGTTCTGACAGAAAACAGATTAGTATTTTCTATCCCCTTTATTTATAATTTTTGCTATTGCCAACCTTACCACATTTAGATTATGCACAACAGATCACAATAGGCACTTAAATACATGTATATATATAAATATGTATGAAGTGAAACACAGACTGAGATACGGAATCCGAAGAATTCCTGAAAGAAATGACTTACCTTATTTTCTCTACTAAATTAATTTATATATACATATGGTAATTACCTCAGAAAACAACTGACTCAGAAGACTTTTCTCCTAATACTTGCCATTCAGAAACAACCAAACTACACCCACAACTAACATGGAAAGGAGGAAAAGAAAGTGACAAGATGCAGCTTGATCATTTAAAAATCAGCATCTTCTCACCATCATCTGCAAATAAGCTGATAATTGAAGACCAGGAAACAAGTCATTCACCGTAAGCCTCTACTGTTCAAAAAACTGTAGTAGCTGAAACTTCATATAGACCTAACTTGAAAACCAGTTTAGTTTCAAAAAAATAATGTTATAGAAAATTCTCCATCTGAGAAGGCTTATTGATTATTACTTCCTGATCACCAAAACATAAAAATACATTTTGTATGCTTCTATCTGAGAATCTTGGAGGAAAGAGGAATTTAAAACTAATTTTGATGGCAGAAGAACCTAAGGAGTTTCAGGCTTTGCCTTCACAGACTATTTGCCATGAGAAAAAGAGAATTTTTCCTTATGACATTCAGATAGATTTCTTGCTCTGAAGATAAATTCTTTTGGTTATACTGTAGAACTGTCTTTCCAAAGAAGCATATAGATCCATTGTATAAATGCAGTCCTTTCAAATCAAGGGAAAAATAAGCAAAGTATACTGTATGAGCCAAGTCTGAAATGAGCCAACTAGACTGAAACAAGTATAAAAAAAAAATCTGTCTTTTCTTTACCACAAATAATAGTGGAAATTGTATGTGTACATGCTCTGATATTATATATTTACCTCCTGAGGTTTAATCTTCATGCTCAGCAAAGAACTTATGCATACAAAAAAAACCCCAAACAACAAACTAGTCTCAATTTAAGATTTAATTTATTTAATATTTGTTAGATAGCAATAAAGTTCACCTAATATTTCCAAGGCAGATTGCATTAAGTCTCATGAAGTCAACATTAACAGGACTGTAAAAGGGCGGGCAAAGGCCCATAAGGACAGAAGAATGAAACCACATATACTGCACAAACTGCATTGCTTGGCTTGTGCAAGTCACGTGGAAACTACAACCCTCAGTATTTGTGGACAGGGCAAAGCTCATAAGAGGAGCAAGAAATAGTGATGCAGTCCTCTCAGTCTTACACTTGTGTAGAATAGGAACAGTTTTGGCCCAGACTGCTGCTACTTCATAGTCTTAGCATGACAAGTTACAGCCTCAGCCTATGGTGACATACCTAGCTCTGAGTTAGCTCTTCGGTGCTCACAAGAACAGTTTTACATATTACATTTTCATGTAAGCATTTTCTTTTTGAATAAATTAATTCTTTAACAGTTTGCCTTAATTCTAATCACTACCTGCAAGGCATTAGTCACAACACTTTGTTATCTTTTTCTTGAATATGGACATTTGCTGGACTTCTCACATGCAGTGACACTAGTCTCTTAAGATGTACTTTAACTGATAGTAAGATTTTCTAAGAGGAAAGAGTTCTATTGCTTGCTTTCATTACGTCACTGGAACAAACTAGTATTTCGGTTTAGCATTCTTATCACCAAAACTACTTCCTGACAATCTTAATCTTTTCTGAAGTGATGCAAATATCTCCTAAAGCTATGATCTCCCTTAGAATCCTGACTAACAGCATCTAAATTAGACCTGTTTTCTGTGGTCACTCTTTGCCTTCATTTTACAAATTCTTGCAAATCAATAATTATTTTGGCAACTGAATCCTGCTAAAAGCAAAGTCCAAATTACTTATATCTAGGTGATTTCATGCTTAAAGGATTTTAGAAAGCTGGGCTGGCCCAGTTTTCCTCACCAAATGCCCTGCAGGTTTTACAGACTTCAGTAGTGTTGCTGAAATGTACTGAAACTAATCTTGGGCATATTAAGACTGACAGTCTTCCCTGCAGCTTTCCTTGTGACGATGGAAATATGCTGCCTAGATGTCTGATCAAATCTCAGGTATGGTACATTATAAAGTGTGGGACAAATTATTTGCTACATTTTTTGGTTTTTTTTAGTTTGTTGGCATGTGTTTCAGTGTTAATGTGCTAGCACATGCTTCTGAGAAAATGTCAGGTTGGACAAATAAGAATTCTAGATGCTTTACACTGAGTCAATCCTTCCTGAGGTAACTGAGCAGTCACTCATCATACCCTCAACACTAATCAAATACTGACATGCCATTGATAAAGCCTTTGTTCTTCTCAAAATTTATATTGGTCAACACACAGTTTCTGAACGATTTACTTCAAGTGTCATTTCACATGGCTGCTGAGTCATCTTAGAGAACAGGCAATTAACTAAGTTTTTGCTAGTAATTTTTAAGTGTTTGCTACAGCTCAAGCAGTAATGAATACTAAATGAAAGATAAAACATTGCAAAACCTATTGTAGAATCTAAGTCTTTAAGATTGGTCCCCACTAATTTTTATGTGATTTTAATATTCAAACCACTGCTTATATTTATGTTAACAATAACAAGCTCAATAATAAATGAACATAATTTCACCACCTTCACTGGTAAGCCCAAAGTCATTCTAACTCATTCTTTATAGGCAATATCTGGCAGCTTTTTCTGTTTTCAGTCCAGTTTACAGAAAAATTATTTCAGCTTTTCTTTGCCATTCCACAAGCACCAGCAGTGTAGCACACCATGTAATGCACCAGCAATTCTTAATTTACAGTGCCTTCAGGTCAAGAGGTAAAGCTGAGTTTCACCTTCTCCCATGCTAGAAAAAACATCATCATTCATGGATCTGGTCTTGCTCCTACATGCCCAAACCTGATATGACTGACTCTACTCCCTCCCCTCTTCCAACCAGACGTAATGTGCCCCTCGGCTCCTGCTCAGAGGTAGCAGGAAGAAAGGAAGCTGGCGACAGAAAAACTCAAGGCAGCAGCAGCCAGAGCGTCTTTCACACCCCTCTGACGCCTGACTGATTAGGAGGAGTACCTCCTCCTTCTTGTCAGATGAGCTTTTTCTTCCAAATATCTTCCAAAACTCCTGTCAAGGTCCCTCAACTTTAATTTCCAGCACTCCCAGCATCAGACAGATGCCACAATTTAAAGCTCCTAAAAGCAAAGGAAACCAGGAGTTATCCTATTTTCACTGCAAAAGCAGGAATCTCTTTCACAAAGCACCTTATTCTTTGGCTGGTGTGCCTGGTTTGTTAGAAAGATAAATGGGTTTTTCCTGGTAGTCAGCCAGACTACTGACTCAGCAAGTTTGGAAACTTCCCAGGAAATGATTGCTTAACCCGATTACACCATGGAAACCAACAGCCAGCATAAAATAATAAACAGTCCTTTAAAACAATCATCCCAGCAAGGAAATCTATAGTTAAACAGTTCAGAGTATGATTTTCCAAGTGGCACCAAGAAACATGTGCAGATACTTAACTGTCCAGCCAAGCCAGTGACACTGATCAAATCCAGATACTTTAATTTAATTCTGCCTTAGACTATGAGAATATCTACTAGAACCCACTTTGCTAACTCTTATTTTGAAAAAAAGTTTTGTTTTTTTAATTCCAAGTAGGGAGAGGTGCCAAGCTTTTCCTCATCATGGGGCATTCCTCATGACTTATTTAGCTGATGCCCTGCCCCTCCTTCTTGTTCAATTTTTTTCAAATTTTTTAATTATACTGAAGTTACCCATGTGAGTTCTGGTGCATTTTCTTAAAAGCAATTAGAGGACACAATAATTTATCTACGTTAGCTAGAAGTATAAAATCAAAAAATAGTTTAGCTAATCTTTCCTGTCTTTTCTACCTCATCCAAACTCATTGCAAAATACAATTAAGAAACTCAAATAAATAGTGATTTCCTGTCACTGGATTCAGCTGGTCTTGTTACTTGGGTGAGTCTGACTGTCTTCTAGTATCACATCTAGTCCTACCAGGCACAGAAATCAGTGAAACTTTAGGGAGATGCTGAAGGAACTAATGGGAAGCAATAAAAGCTGATGCTTGGAAACAGAGTTGGCCTCTTGGGAACAAAGACAAAGACCAGCTCTGCAATCCAGCTACAGGGGCAAGCCTAAAACATAAAGGAGACTGCTGTTTGCCTGACTTGTTTTAAAAGGTTTTGACAAGTCTGACTAAAAATGTCCCAGGGATTCTGACAAAACTTTACCAAAGAGCTTCATGTTCTATAAGAGTCAGAAAGTAACTCCTTCCATTTTGACAACCACACTTGTGGAAACACATTCAACTCAGTAACCTTCACTCAGCAGAGAACTAGCTACACAACCTATACTCTGCTAAACATATAATTTTTCAAAACTGTTCACGAAGAAGTGCTAACCTTCTGCAGGCTGAATATCTAAAACGTTTTGTGACATTATTCCTGTGCTTTACACTGAGATATTCAATCAAAAATAAAACAGATGTTCCTACAATTTTGAAATGTTTGCTGTAACAAAAGAACAAACTATCATGAGCTAGAGTCTTTTATTTACTTGGATAACTGAGAAAAGTGATCTGTATTTTAACAAACAGCAGTAACTGTTTGCATGAAGTTTCATTTTCAGTGTCGAAGCAGACTTGTTGAAACATACATTTCCTTCCTATTAAAGGCAGAGGATAAAGCCTTAATATGTTCATACACAATTTCTTCACAGGAAGCTACTGTCAAATGAGGTGCTAGATATCTATGTAACCACAGGAACTATGTTTTTAATGCAATGCAAATGTTGACTTTCTTTTACAAATTAAACTATGTGACTGCAATTAAGTGAATTCAAGGAAACAAATCTCCAGTTAAATATACTGAAATACCACACTCAGACTGCAATCAACTGTGTTGTCTTTCCAGGCTTCTTGCACTCTTCTCTTTAAGTCAAGTGTATGATTTAATCCTACAAGCACCACAGTTAGATAGCAATGGTCTGAAAAACATTTCACTTTCACATGTGTAAACACATCAAAGAACTGACTTCAGAACAGGCTGTTAATATTAAACTATCCACAGATGGAAATTATGTACACCATTCTTCCACTCAGACATCAATACCAGCAGACAGTGGTTTGAATGCTCTGTCTGTAACCTGCCTTATTTTGGAAAGTAGCAAGAGAAGATTACTGGGTTTCAGCAGTCATTGTGTGACTATGCTGACTTCTTAGAATCAGGGAATTCCCAAAACAAAAGCCCTTTCTTGACAAAGGATTTGCTCGTGACAGCAGGCACAGCAGGGCTTTTATTGCACAAAGTTTTTTCCAGCATCTCACAGACATGAGTTCCTTCAAAAATATTAGGTTTAGTTTCATCTTCTATCATGTACTTCATAATTTAAGTATAGTAATTAATAAATTATTTTCATGTGAGTATCTTGCACTATTAGAATGCCCACATCAGAAGTCAGACTCAGCAGCTTTGTTGTGCCTACTGCACAGAGCTAATAAGAAAGGGAAAAAAAAAGGCACACATGATGGTACAAAGATATCATAGCTAAATTATAATTAAATACAAAACTCTTCAGGGAATCATTACACAATTCTGATTCATCCTATCATATATGAATACTGCCTTTTTTCTCCCTGCCCCCTCCCCCCCAATGTCTGTATAAATGTGTCCCATCTGACACTGTCTACGTATCATCCTTAACAAATCAGGGATAATCAACAGATCTTTGGGCTTAATCACAGACACAAGTTTGAAAAAAGTTTGGCACTGCACAGAGGAGGTCTAGATAAACCTGCTTGGTCAGGCTTGTCTAAAAGGTAAGTTTGAGGGCAGTAGAATGTTACCAATACAGAAAATCAAGATTATATATTAGAAGGGAAAGCACCACTGAGTATGTCTGGGCCATGTAAACGTAGATAAAAGGTTACATGGATTGCCTCTACTCCTCAAAACACAAATAACACTTTGGAATCTTGTGCCCATTCACAAGACCCAGAATGAACAGGAATAATGTCTCAGAGATCCTATAGGAAACTGTGTGCTGCAGCGTTTGCCAATTTTTGGTAATTCAATATGTGCAAACTCTTTTGCTAGTACTTAAAACTACAAGAACTTAGCTTTGAGTGTATGTTTGACTAGATGTAACACACAGTCCTAAAGAATTCCTACTGTTACAAACACAGAGCATCTACAAATCGCCAGTTTAAGCCATGGTGACTTAGATGAAGGGTCACCAGCTGACAATTATTATCATTCTATGTCCTTCCTAAAAACAAAACAGGTGATTTAAGAATAAGTGACAATTACCTGAGGACAAAATAAACCTGAACCTCTCTCCTTTCCCATGTTGATATTTAGAAAATATTAGGTGCAATATTTAATGCTTTCCTAAATATGCATCTTGTAAATTGAAATTATTGACTTGATCATCTCTTATGTCTAGCTGCAACAAACCTCTGAAACAATCAAACTAGGGCAAATAGGCCAGAAAAGCACCAAGGTAGTTTGAATTAGTCACAAGAAATTCAGTCGTACAGCATTTAGTGCACGGCAGATCATACTAGGACTACTGTTATTTTATGGCACAGCAGTGTGTAAGGAAAGCCATTCCAAATTTATTTTCTGTATCCTAAAATGATATAATTCAGGGTTCAGTTGGACTTTGAATAGCATAGACATATAATGCTTTAAGAAAAAAGGGAATTACATTTAAAATACTTTTTGTTGAGTTATTTTTGACCTTTAGTATGCTTTTCTATTTTAAATAATAGTAAAAAAGTCAGAAAACTTCACCTGGTGGATCTGACAGTAAATCAATGTGAGCATTACTTAGGATTGGTTTAATTCACAGTCTCTACTCTACACTTGTATTATTTTTAAATAAAGTCTAGATTTTGGAGCAAATTCCAGAAGCACTATGCAGAACAGGATAGGGGGGTTTATTAAACATATGAGCACACAGAAAATAAGTTCTCATTAAGACAGAGAGGAATGTGCAGTGTACATCACTGGAGCGTGGAAGGATAACTTGAGGGTGACAAGAATAAAATATAACTATGAGTGGTATTAATTCACAGTTAACTCCAGTGTCTTCAAGAGAAAATATTAATTTTGCCTCTGAGAATCTTCGGTCTAATGAACTCTATTTTAGTCATTAGAAAAGGACTTCTACTAATTACAAGTAGCTGAAGGCACGAAGATGCTCTCAGCTGCAGCACCCCAGCTCTTCTTTAACCCTTCCCTCAAGGGTTCCTTTTCTTCAGTTCAGTGAGCTGGGGAGGCATATGAGGCTCTGTAGGGACTGGATCTGGGAAAAGGACATGTGTCTTCTGTAGGAGTGTGGAAAACAAAGGCTTCCTAGAGTTGGTATTTCTGAGTCACTGGAAACGAGGGCTCCTTATTTCAGTGGGGTAAGACAAATGGGCATTTGTATCAAGTGCTGGGTGCAAGGGAAGAAAGAGGAAGTGGCCTCCTACAACTCAAGACAATTCCCTTCCAGAGAGTCTACTGTCCTACTTCTGCAGAATCACTCTTCTATATATAGCTAAAAAGCCTCAAGCTAGCTCTGCTTATAACAAATCTACAGAGGCAGGCAACACCTGGTGCTTTGTATTCTGTCAGTGATACATAAATAGTCTTTTTAACTGAAACTATTTAAATTCAAAATAATTTAGCAAAAAATAATTATAATTCCTGATTCTTCATCAAAAAGCAAAGATGACATGAAATATTCCACTTATCTATGCCCCATGAGACACAGCATTCCTATTTTAAAATGCAAAGCTCAGCTAGACTTTTTCTGAGAAATCACTTCCAATTTTTCTATAAAATGACCTTACTATATGAACATTCATTCCTTCCAGAAGAACGAATAAAACTTTGAACGAAAAACATAGCTAGTTAACATATTTCCTTTTCACAAAGGAAACAGGATTTTTGTTTTCCTCCAAATACCTGTTTCTTTTCATTACTACCTTGATTTACTGCCACCTTCATGAGTGGATTCATCTTTTTTCAGACAGCACATACTTAGAATAAAATTATCTTAAATATTACAAACCTTCTGTTTTATATATGACTGTTTGTATTGTTGTCTGCCTATTCTGTGGAGCTGTAATTCTAGGACATACTACAATAAGAATTTATGTGTTTTAGGAAGATATAAAATCTCATTCCTAGACATGTTCAATGGGGCTTTGAGCAAACTGGTTTAGTGGAAGGTGACCCTGACCAGGGCAGGGGAGTTGGAACTAGATGATCTTTTAGGTCTCTTCCAACCCAAACCATTCCATGAAATAAAGTTATTTCCTTCAAAGAGATTGGTATTTTGCCACGAAAATCTTCATTTAAGCTAAACAAAATATTTCTCAGATTAACTACGTAGTATTTCTAAAATGGAAAACATTTGCAAAGCCTGCTCGTCTCTGGCTGCATCTCAAATACATGCTGCAAGGGAAAGATGCCAACATTTCTTAGTTTCAAAAACTTTTGAAACTTTTAGCATGACACAAACCTCTTTAGAAAATCAATCCTGAAATTTGACATGAAGCATCTACTAAAAAAAATTATAATATTTTCCTATTTAGATTTGATACTCTTTTTATGTAGACCTGTAACTTATTTGTACACTGTTCATGTTTATTTCTACAGAAATACAGAATCCTAGACTGGTTTGGGTTTTTTTAATGCAACCATAATCTGAAAAAAGAGCTACCACAATGGTAGTATGGTATTAGTAGCTTATTGCTGGTGAGCACTCAATGGTCAGGTTTGTTCAGCTTAAGAATACAATGTTTATTTTCTAATTTACTCCACCAAATTCCCAAGTTAAAGAAAGTTAAGTTTCTTCCCATATTTACCAGTATAAAATAAAGCTTCAGTCTAACAACGACCTCTATCATGCCTAAGAAACTAAAAAGTCACTTTTTTACTGTAACATTTTAATGTTTGCTAATTCTACTGTTTAGTATAAAAATTAAGACCTTCACTTTGGAATCTGGACTTCAGAGTTATGCACTGGATATACTCTAAGAAAAAAACAAATGCTCTTGAGTTCTGAAGATTATAATATACTAACTGGATTTAATTCCTGCATTTCTTCACATTCATACTGATAATCATAAAAGAGAATGTTGCTGATAGTATGATAGGGAGTAAATTCAGTACATACCTCATAGCCAGGGCTGACAGGAGACTGAGACAGGAAGTTGGAAAGAAGAAAATAAAGCACAAATAAATAAGGGGGAGAAAAAGACAGAGAAAACTATTACTTTAGAAGTAAGCATGAATGTGGGATCATATTGTACTGTCTATGCAGAATAGAATGCAAAAGAATTGCATTTGAGCTATGACATGCAAAAATCTGGATTACATTGTATCCTCCTGGTTCTACTGTCATTTTCAGCATTTCTGTTGATGAGTTTCTACACTACTAAGTTAAGAATCAAAAATAGATATTGTCCAGGTTTTATTCTTTGGAGGTAGATTTTTAAAGCTGTGTCCAAATATAGTCCCCATTCACTTTGCAGCTCAAATGAAATGCTTTATTGGCTAATGAAACATTTATACCTATACTTGAAACTGTTTCTGTGTGTAGTGGTTCTCTATGCAGGGATAATTACAATACAACTACCCTTTGCAGAATTCCACATTATCCTGTCTCAGAGATTTTCCACATGCCACAATTTCATAAGTCAGGCCATAACGTATTCACTTTATAAGTGTCATTTTTCGAGAAGGTAGACTTACATGCTAGATTCAACACTGTGAGCTAAAGTTAACTCCTTTTAGGTTCACACAACATCAACAAAAATATTCTGGAATCATAACTCCATTTAATAACGACATCTATCAAAGATCTCCAGGAATTACTTCTCTCTCACCTACTCCTACACTTAATTACCTACTGGTAATTAGGAGCAAAATAAATTTATTTTACACCTATTTAAAGAATTGACAGATATTGTACTGAATTCAGTGCTCCTAAACAGAGGTTGTATTTTTGTGACACAGCAATATTAATACTGAATTACACAATTTTGTGAGCAAAGACAGTATTTTTCAATACATTCACACAGACTGTAGAAAAATGAAAGACATTCCAAAGTGCATGCTTTGATTGGCACCACCATATAAACTGTCATAAAACTTATCTTACAAGTGCTGCAGAAGAATGGAGTCCAAAGGACAGATCTGATACGTGAGAACTGACAATGCTTATGCACACTTATAAAAAGCAGAACAAAAGACACAGAGAAGCCATATATGAGAGCATTTCTGAAAATCTGGTAAATGATACCACGATTTCATGAACATTATCTACTGTAAATATATTTTCTTAGTGCATGCATGTGTGCACATGTGATGTTCTGAATCATCAACACGGGCACACCAAGGACTACAAGTCCTTAGAGAAATACAGCCTGAAGTATAGATGAAACTAACTGTATTTCTTCATAGGCAATTTTCATATTTTCAACAGGTAACTTTGCAAAACAGGTATTTCATATAAGCCTGCATCAGCAAACAACACAGTCATATAATTAAAAATGTTTTAAAATCGAAAATCTTTGCCACATTGTAACTGTACAGTGCAGTGCACATTTACACAGAGCATACCAGGATGCTCACTAATACAAGTTTTAACCAAAATTTCAGAAGAAAATCAGGATTAGGGCCAGCCTTCCTCAAAATTTTCTGTCTTGGTCAGAGTAATTTCTGAAACAACCTGCTGAGAAATATGATTAATCTGTAAACATTTATTGCTGCAGTGTGAAGAACTTAAGCACCTTACTCATTTATGCAGCTTTTCAATTAAAAATACAGATTCATGATGTTAACCTTAATTTCCAAGTAGCTTTAGACTAATGATAATCAGTAGCATAAGTACATAATTATGGTTCGTAGATGATACTGCATGTAACACCAGGTCTACATAATTTGCAATAGTGTCCTTTTAGTATGTCAAGTTTAATAAGTTTAATATTCTAACTGAGAGGAAAACATTATAATTGTTGTGTGTACTTATAAATTCTTTCCTCTCTTTTAAACCTTAAGGTTTTCAAAACTTTCACTTAGGAGTGGATTCATTTACACACAGTGTTAAATCTTAACTATTCAAGTGTATTTTGACCATGCGAGTTAAAAAGAACAAACATGCCGCAGATATAAAATACGTATCATTGTCATTTACTCCAGTCAACATTTTGTCCTCAGAAAGGTTGTTTTCACAATGGAAAACTAATATATTACTGCATATACAAGTATACCACATATTAACATGTGCCTGTGTGCGTATTGTACATCTATATATACTCTACACATATATATACTCAGACATAGAGATACATTCACCACAAAGATCTGTTCAAGGATCTGATAGGGATTTCTCCTACTTTCTTCTAAACACTCAGAAATATGATAAATATGCAGGCTCCAACTACTTAGCTATAGCCTTGACCATAACAGTATGTTTGGGTCACAGCATTCTAAGGAGACAAATCCTTCCTATATAATAAATCAAGGGATATATTGGTCTGATATAGAAGAAATTCAGCTTCTAGTTCCAGAGAAGACATCCTCCAAGATGCAACTACTCATATTAGCATGGGTTGCATTTTAGACCTTCAAAATAACCTAATTCTTGACAAAGGAGGAGACTCCTGAGAGTATCAGAAGTGGCACATACCTTAAACCCACATACCTGAAGCTGGTGACCTCCCTTTTACGTCAAGATGCCTTTTCTCATAACAATGCTTTATAATTTACATACCACCCTCCTGTGTAGTCTGTAACAGGCAAAACCAGATTCTACAGCACTAAATGTCATTGATTCTTATGAGCAACTCCCATGGCCTACACAGCTAGGGAATCCCATACCAGAAGGGCTTCATCCGGCATGCTGGGCGAGGGTTCTGCAGAAACTGTACGAACGGTGCTGAGTCCTGTTAAGGACACATTTGATAGGCGTCTTTTCCGTACACCACTGCAGTTGTTCGGGATTTTAAATGCACATCTCTTATGGTAGTTTAGACCACACCCTGAAAACAGAAATTGAAAACCATCTGATTATGGCTTATTAGTGGAAAAAGCAATAGAAAAAAACTGGGCTTTTTCAAAAAAACAAGAATTCAAAAGCACTACCCTTATTATTGATTAAACTTTTTTCCACTACTCTCTTCCTATATTCTAAAAAAAATTATTAAGAGATAATGACAGCAACTCCAAATACTTGTATCCACAACCAGTGTTTCTTCTCTGATTTTTCAAAATCTGTGGTCTCAAAGCACAAGATATTTCTGTGATCAGCATTTGGGAGGTAAGGAAGCTTTTCAGTGCAAATGGTATATTCTATTGGATACAGTCTGCTAGAAGTCAAATAGTTGTGACAAAATGAGAAAACACAGCTATTATAACCTTATATGGACATACAGTAATTTCAGTTAAATAATCTGAAATAATATGATATGGAAGGAGACATAGGCTCAGACTCAAAATGGTAGTAGTGTAAAACACAGCCTTTTCTTAAAAATACATGTAAGACCAAGATTTTGCACTTCAGGTTACAGCACCATATCTAGCTGGCCTCAGAGCAGTCAAAAGGATCAGTTCTTTTTAAAAGCATCATCAGTGACAATACTCAGAAGCAGAATGGACAAATCTCTTCTTGAGACTGAAAAATCACATCTTGCTGCAACTTACCTTCACATTTGAGTCCCTGACGCACCAGCCCCCACAGCATCTCTCCACAATGGTCACAAAAAGCTGGAGCTCGATATGAATGAACAAACAGAGCATGGGGCCGGATTTGAAAGTCTTCAAATGTAGCAGAAGCTGTAAGAGCAAGATCATTAAAAAATGAATAGACGTAGTGCCATGACTAACAGTCTTCATTTATGTGGTACTCCATCACAGAACACTTTTGGTCACTATGATGACGAATCTTGAATTTGGTGTTGGTTGCTGTACTATATTGATGATATACTACAAAAAGATTGATCTCATACTACAGTGACCACTGGAAAAAGCAAAAAGCAGCATTTATAACCCTGCAGGAGTAACGTCTCTGAGCACATTTTTCCAATAAAACACAACAGGATAATAGCATATCAAACATTTACCAAAATTCCCAGAGTTAAACCAAAGGTCATAAATGTTTCAAAATACTCTATTACAGGCTTGATTCATTACACCTGAAGGTATACATATATAAAATACACCAAACACATCCAGTAAAGAAACACTGTGAGGTTTTTTTCACAAAAAAAGGCTAACGTATTCAAAATAGGCCATCATTTGGTATATTAGATCCAGCAGCCTATGTTGGTATCAGTGAACTGAACACTCAAGTTGAAAATACGTATTACAGCTTAAAAAGAAAACATGTAATTATATACCCAAAAATCAATAAAGAAAAAACACCTGGCAGAGCAGCCTAGAAGATGGTTGTGCATTTCCTGAAGTACCTTTCAAAGTGACATCAGCCTGCAACTAGTACAACAGCTGCAAAAGTTAGAGGGGCTAGTTAAAGGCACTAGTGTAAACTACAAAAATAATAAACTACACTGTTTCAAGAACCATTTATTATACAGAGACAACCAGTACCACAACACTTTAAAAATAAATTTTAATTAAATATTTTATTTTTCTTATTAAATATGTTAAATATGTATCAGACAGTCTAATGAAAAATAAACTATGTCAAGTGCTGTTAAACAATAATCACATACGCGAACATTCATTCTTATTCAGGCTGCCATTTCAACAGATTATTTAAGTGTGTGCTTACTCTTCACAGACACCAGTATGACTGAACCGAGTATGTAGACACTTAATAGAAATACTTTGACTCTCAACAGAAATACATTCCTGATTTGCAACTGAGAGAAAGGAAAAAACCAAAAACAACAGTTCAGCTAAAAGGAATTCCTAAGAGATCCAAATATCCTTAGCCCCTGGCTTGTTCCTTGGCTATTAATGAAAAGAGAATCAAACATCTGCATAGCGATCAAGAAAACATTTTTAGCTAACTGGAGCAGAGAACCAATAAAGACCTATGACCTGGACTCAGTTCCTTCTCTGAACAAAACTGCTACTCTTAGGAAAAAAATTTCCAGAATTGTCCACAGAAAAATATGTTTCTAGTCTTAACTAGCTGAGGGATCTTTTAACAGAGGTGTTTGGAATACCATCGCAAAAGTAGGACCCAACGACACAAATACCAAATCTCTTTTTTTTAAAAAAAAATTATTAGAACAATCCAAATCACCTAACAGTTTGTTTAATTCTGGATTTCACTTTCTTCTCCCAGAATTATTTCAAAAAAAGCCATGTTAAAAAGCTTACTCAATTCATAAGATTAGGACTTCATAAAACAGTCTAACATATTAGAACACACTGAAACTAAACAAAAATTTTTTATATTTAATTAACAATGTTAGGTCAGATATATTTTTCAGACTCAAGGGCCTTCAAACACATCAGGATACTTGTTGAAGTCTGTTATTTTTCTAATTTTTTTTCAGCCTGTAGTGGTCCAGTTCACTGTTAAGGCAATGCTCACTCTGTAATGGTAAGGCTCACCTTGGTCTACTTGAAAACACATCTCAACACAGAATCACAGAATGATTGGAAGGGACCACAGTGGGTCACCTGGTCCGACTTCACTGCTCAAGAAGGATCATCCTAGAGCACACAGCACAGGATTGCAACCAGACAGTTCTTGAATATCTCCAATGAGGAAAACTCCACAATCTGTCTGGGCAATTTGTTCCAGTGCCCAGTCACTTGCACAATAAAAAAGTTCTTCATACTCAGTTGGAACTTCCTGTGCATCAGTTTCTGCCCATGGCCTCTTGGCTTATTGGCTGACACAACCAAGAAGAGCCTGGCTCCATCCTCTTGACACCCTCCCTTCAGAACACAGTTTTAGATGTTGAACAGATTTTGTGTGATTTTACTTTGTCTAGGACATAAGAGTGAATCAAGTTTTTGTGCGTATTGCCAGATTTTTTTCTGCAGTTCCAACTGAGTCAAAGAGATAGTTGGAAGGATCAAGCACACAAACTATACAATATATTTTGATGCTATTTAAAATACCAAAATATGTTCATATTTTCCACTTGTACATATTTATATTCTCCACTTGAACAAAGAAAACAAAATACAGGCATATTAACTTCTCTATTTAGTTTCATATTGAAGATATATCATAGGAATTAGGACACCTCCCCAGTAGATCACTGATCTGGGGAGTTCAAGAAGGATTTGATTCTCTGGGCCTCTGTATCACTGGCATGCAGCCACCAGGAGGAAAAGTTGCCACAGGCAGGCAGCAGACACCTCTATAGTCCTACCATGTATGGGTAGCCAACTGAGCTACAATAAGTCAGCAACTGGATGAGATCAAATCAAAGATGAAAACCATACTGAGCCTTGGCAATTCACACCTTGCTTTCCTCTTCCACTGTCTATGAATTGTGATATACACATGAAGACATGATCTTCAGCATTTTGGAAACTCCAGCCACACAACATGCTACGACGTAACTCCTCAGCAACTCAGCCTGCAAAAAACACATCACTAAGCCTTCCCATCTATCTACTCATTTCCTTCAGACTTACCGTCTAGCGTTCAGAGTTTCAGCAATTCTCTTCAGGACTTTCACTCCTGGATTTTGCATGGGCTTTATGAGGAGTATTGACATCTCTGGTTCTTTGCATAACGAAATGATCATGGAAAAGCTATGTATCTGGGAGCTTTCTCAGGGATATGCACCAAAACTGGAACACTATGCCTTACCCTACCAGTTTCCAACAGAACTGCAATGTACACTTGTTTGCTATTGTGTCTCTAGTTTAAATTTGCACATACAAATATAAAACCAAGAAGCTTACTAAACAAGATACACTTTCCAAAGGGGAAAATCAGGAAGACCCTACTATAAGACCCTCAAGACATAAGAGCCATGAATTTTGATAACATATATGTCAATTTTAGAGATGTAAACATTTTGATTATACAACAGACCTCCTTAAGGTTGTTACTTAAAAGCATATAAGTAATACTCAAAGCACTACTAAAACTAAAGTGATGTGTACAATAAAAACAGTCTAAATTTCAATCTAGAAAAGAATTTATGTATACAAGTTCATGACAATTTCATTGAATAACTACCTAAAGTTATGCATGTATTTAAGTTCTATTTTGCGCAAAAGATGCTTGCTAAATTGGCATACTGGAGAGGAGTTTTACATGGATTTACTGACTAGTTTTTCAAATAGTCTGAACAGTGCAGTAAAACCACAATTAAGCTTATATAAAATAGTAACTCAGTAACTTAAATTTACTTTAGTAGTTTAAACAATCTATTAAAACATGTTAATATATCTTAAAATATCTCTAAACCCTTAGTTTTTGTGAGAAGTATACATCAATATCTCTGTAGAAGCAAACCTGAAATTAAAAACTCCCACAAGTAGTTTTGCCTTAGGGATCTATCTGATCATTTGGCTCTCTTCCTGTGTCCTGAATTCAATTCCATCTGAAGCTGTTAAGTGGATGGAAAGTATTTTGTTGTCGAGTGTCATTTTCTCAACTCCAATTTTGTTGTACTGATCTATTCCTGCCCTCCAACACAGCTTCACAAATAGTGAAGAAATAATTGATATAATTTCCACTAAAGCTGAAACTGAACCTCCTGGTCTCCCTGTAAATTAATTAATGGGTTATCATGGCTCAACCTCTTGTAATAAAAAAGTGTTTCTAGTTCCAAGGCAGAAAAAACTATTTAGAAATTACTTTATTATACCTCTTGTTTAGTTCACATTTCAAATATGTGATACTAAATAAATACCATACTTCGCACTAATGGTGTTAATGCAGTTTAAGTGAAGCAATGTTAAGAACCCTCCTGAAGTACTCAATTGAAGATGTTGCAGCAGTTATTATAAATACATATGCTCTATTATATATTTAGTTTCTTCATTTAAGTTGCTTTCAATTTAAATACTCTTAAAATTTTTGTACAGCACACACTGCAAAACAGAGATGACAAATTTTTATAGAAATTGCCTTTCAATGGAAGCTTAATTTTTGCCTGTTTCTGAATTCGCTCTCTTGTATCTGCCACAGCTGCTATAACACAAAGTATTTTAAAACTCAGCAGGGATGAACTGACTAGCAAAACTTTTCACCTATCAAGACAAAGCACAGAAAGGCATAAAACCATTACAGAAAACAGCAAAGGATTGTTAGATCCTACGTTTGTATGGGGGCTTGGGGCTGAAATACAAGGGTTTGCAAACCAGCATCTCAAGGAATCACTACTAGACAACTTACTTCTCAGGCAGATACTCTTAGGCACTGCCCATACAAATGGTCAGCAAGAAACTGAACTAAACAAACTAGTAGATGAAGAACACCAGCCTGTTGGTTGAAAAATTCTAGGCATTATCAAAAAAAGATTACAATAGTATAAGCAGTGCTAAATACCATTCTTATTCTACACTTCAGCCCTCCTGGCTGAATAACTAGAACTTAAAATATCATTTTCTATAATGATATATTAAAAAAGCCATTATCATTTTATACTGACATAATAAATATTCAAAAGTAAAAAGCAGGTTGGAAAATGCATTTTATTTTAAATAAGCTTTAAATTTGGCAAGTACTGCAGAATACAGCGATATGAAGAATACAAAACAGCATTCTTTTTCCTTCTTTGAAACTGTTTTGGCAATGTTCCACTTTGTTGAAAGGCACGGAAGTGTTTTGGGTTTTAATTTTTAAGGTAAAAATAGCAATTTTCCAGGCTTCAGATTTATGTGTTCTCATCAGACTCT